GGACGCCGGCACTCCCAGCAAGCGGCGGGGCCTGGGCAAGCAACGGCGCGCGGCGCTGGCCAAGCGCAAGGAGGCCGCGGCGAACGTCGCCGGCGGCCCCGCCAAGGGGCCTCAGCAGCCCGTGCAGGAGCGGCACATCGGGCGGTTGTTCAGCCTCCTGCCCTGCAGGCAGGGCTTCGAGGCGGTGCATATTACTGGCACCCTGACGACGCTGTGGGCCCTCTTGCGGCGGCACGAAAAATACCATCCGGGCGGCGTGGAGAAGCTGACGGGGCTGCAGCTTCCCAAGAGTGACGATTGGAGAATGTATACCGTGCCTGAGGTGAGGATCAGCACCGCACGTTGCGGAGGGAGGGGTCTGGGTGGTGCAGAGGTGTCTTGGAGATCTACACCGTGATCACAGGCCACTCCTTTTCTTTTGTAGTTGTGTTGGGTGAGGGGTGGGGGGGTGGAGCAATAAACTGTAGGATCGTCCCGCGATGCTCCGTGGATCCAGGGTCTGGGGGTCGTGTGGTGCAGCAGAGGTGTGAGGCCCCGACTCCTCGTCGCTCACACCCGCCCAACCCACATCTTGCCAACCCCAGGCACTGAAACTCCTCAATCTCGAGGAGGTTCATGGCATCCCCGCCAGGAAGAAACAGGCCATCGAGGCCTGCCTCCGTAGAAAGGCGGAGGAGTACCAGGTGGACGCAGAGGGGAAGCGGGGGAAGAAGAAGACGGGCGAGATGGAGGAGGAGAAGAAGACCGACTGGTTCGTGCATGTTGGTTGGGCATTCTTCGCTCTCCTATTCAACTTCCGGCGGTTTGAGGGCTGCGGGTGGTACTCGGCGGGGCACTGGCGGACGAATGGCTACAGCGTCACCGTCACCCTGCGGCGGGCGAGAGGACCCCCCCGGCCCGGCGACCCCCCGCCCCGCCCCCCGACCCCCCGAAGACCAGCGGCAAGCGCACCCGCGGCGGGGCGCCCCTGGGCGCCCCGCAGGGCAGGGGAATCGCCGACGAATACTACCGGTGAGTGGTCCGTGACTGTACCACTGGGGTGTGTGCTGCTAGGGATGGCTCTCCTGGCTTGTCGACATTTTACTGGGATTGCCTGGGACACTTGCAAGTGGTGCGGGAGTGTTGGCTGCTCCGTTTCTGGGAGCGACTGCTGGTGTGCTGTTTACCAGCAGCGAGGTGCGTTACCGTATGCAACTACCCGCTCACCCGCCAACCACCCACACGTGCCGCGCTCCCACAACACAACTCACGCCATACCACCACCCCCCCTCACTAAAATTTGCAGGCGGGACCCTCCTCCAGAGGAGGCTAGGATACACAAGTATGTCGGCATCGACCCCGGCCGGACCAAGATGTTCACGGCTATCGATGAACATGCCAACGTTACATCCTGCTCCTCCAAGGAGTTCCGCGCCATGTCGGGGGCCAAGCGGCGGGAGGGGCTCATTGCGAAGTGGCACGCGGACGCCCCACCCTTAGTCAAGAAGCTGCACCAGTGAGTGGTGATTGGTTTGTGGAGTGTATGCAGGGATATGCCCTGCAGGGGCAGGCACTGTGTCACGACACCCCGCATCGCTCCAACAGTATCACCAACCCTCTTGCTCAAAACCATCTTCCCACAGGTGCCCGACCTACAAGACAGCGAGCACAGCGGTGCTCCTATCCCGGGTCGTTTGGATCGCCCCCAAACTGCGACAGGGCCTGGCCTGGCACAGGGACGAGAAGCCGTTCCGGAAGGTGCGGCACCAGGCCTACGTCGGCAGGGAGCGGGCAATCACCCGGCTGGCGGAGCAGTTCCGCGCGCCCCCCGGCATGACTACAATTGTCGGCGTGGGCAACTGGTCGGCCCAGGACCGGGGGGGCATCATGCGGGGGCCCCCGCCGGGGCCGTGGATCCGCTTCTTGCGGCGCCTGCGGCGGGTGTGCAGGGTGGTGGTGGTGGACGAGCACAGGTCATCAAAGCTGTGTTGCGCCTGTCACGCCACCCTGCATGCCCACCAGTACGTGCGGGTGCGCCTAGGCGTGGAGAAGCTGGTGGACGTGTGGGACACCAAGCGGTGTACGAACAGAGGCTGCAAGGTCAACGTCGTCAACCGCGATGTGAACGGAGCGGCCAACATCCTGATGCTGACCAAGTGCTTTTTTGAAAATGCACTTCGTCCCACTGCATTTGGTGGACCCCCTGCTTCCCCTTCTCCCACCCTCCCACCCCCCCCACCCCCTCTGGTTCGCCGATCGAGGCAACCAACTGCGCCAGTCAGATCCCGCGTGCGGGAAGCAGCTGTGCAACCGGCGCAAGCCCGGTAGCGACATATCTTCGACTCGTGCGCCGCATATGTTGCCCCCATATTCTTGACTTGACTTTTATATATATGTGAACACTTTCGAGAGCACATCTCCTTACCCTGAGAAAATCGACTTACCTTGTAGGCAAACTGCTCGAGTATTACCCGGACGGATACGTTGCGTTGCATTCAAATGCTGAAATTTACTCCATTCGTGGCTGGAGTTTCGCCGAGCCTGGTACCGAGGCAAGCCGCTGGAGCTGTTGGCCCGTGGGTGGAGCTGGGCGGGGACTGGCTATGGCCAGAGAGATATTTGGGAGCGCTCAGTGAAGCCACTTCCTTGCTTCATCCCTAATGCCATCGCAATTACCTCTACCATCGTGCCCGTACAGACCGCTCCCGCTGGTCGGTGCCTGCAGACGCAACTCACTCCTGTCGGTGGCAGCGCTGGGACGAGACAGGGATGATAAGAAACCAAGTGGGTGGAGATGGAATGTGCGGTAGTATGAGCATGGCCATCACCCTCATGCCACTCACGGGTGTGGGAACCTGTAGTCAACTGTCTCTGGCAAAACCAATCCTCGCAAACCTCTGTGTACGTCCTAGTCATTCCAAGCTTAGTACATGCCCAACCCCCATTGCTGCTGCAGAGGACTCTGCCGGCAAGAAACCGCAGGGAAACTGGCGGCAGTTCTCCCCCAAGTCAGAGAAGCCTGGACGTCAGCTGCTGGACACCCTGGAGCTCGTGTACGCTACTACACAATGGCCAAGCGACGACACCATCCAGAGCTTCTGGGTGCTCCACAGGATGCCGCGTCACCAGGTGCGACATTCTTATGGAGTGAAGATGATCTTAGCAGTCAGAAAGTGTCGTGAACATTGCTTGTCAGACATTAAAGATACGGAAATACACCTGTATGACTAGCGTCTTTCTCGCTAGAGCCTCGAGCAGCTTCCCAAAGTGGTGCTTGCTCAGGCAGTGTCCCAGGAAGGACCATTGGCAGCCCCGCCTCCTCCCACGCTCTTGGCTGATATTCATTTGAGAATCCCCCCTTTTCCCTCTCCTCCCTGTATCCCAGGTTGTCGAGTGGTTTGCTCATCGCCGGCGCCAGGAGCGGGTGAGGCCCCAGACGTGGGAGGCGGACCCGAGCAATGACTATGTCAGGATAGCAGGGCAGGAGGAGGACCCAGGCCGAGGATGACCAGACACTGGACGTCCAATATCCCAGAACACCCTTGTATTGTTGTCAGTATGCATTTGTCGTGCCGCTTGTGAGCAAGGTTTTGCTCAAGTTGCAGTGCCCATACGCCATGCCTCCCTTCAGAACATGTTGGGAACAACCCTGGAGCAGGCCCCTGGATCACTTTGTCAACCCTTCCAAAACTTGATGTCTGAAGTCTAGTTCGCTATGCATGAATCAAAGGGAATTCTAGGGTGTGGGACGCAGCGCCCCTGCAAGAGGGAAAACTTGGGGCTGGGGATGCGCCACTCGCTGACATGGCGGCACGTTGGTCCCATGGGGGTGGGCGTTCAAGGTGGACCAAAGGTCCCGCTCGTTGGGATCCAGTGCTGGGATGCGCCAGCATGGCAAATTGATTGGGGTCACTACATGCGCTAGAGCGGAGAGAGGGGGCTGCTTCTGGTGAGGAGGTGCATGCTGTACACGGCGCAGGCCACCGCACTTTTAAGTTCAGGCGACCAATGGAGTCTGAACCTCTTGGGGTATCTCATCATGCATCATCACATGCGGGAGGCGGGGCCGCCAGACACGCTGGCGGAGAACTCTGACGAGAGCAGGGTCTGTGGTTGTGCGAGGAGGAAGGGGTAAGAGATGGGTCCCCAGGCGCTGGCAAAACTTGCAGGCGCGGCGTACGACGGCGTCCCTCCTATACACATCATGAACACCCAATCAAAGACATGCCTCCCGCCTCCCCCCGACTTCCCCTCCTCCACGCCTTTCTTCCCATCTGCTCACATCGTAGGCCGGCAGGGTGAGGAAGTCTGGCAGCTCGCTGGACAGGGCCATGAGCTTGAAGAGGAAGGCGGCGTCCAGGTAGGCCCCCGCGGAGAAGGCGGCGTCGCCCAGATCGCGGCGCAGGGCCTCCATCTCCTCCAGGATGACCAGCTTCACGGTGGTTGCGGTGAGGGGCGCGCCGTCGTCCAGCGCCACGCCATGACGCAGCCACTGCCAGACCTGGGCGCGGCTGATCTCCGCGGTCGCGGCATCCTCCATCAGGTCGTGGATGGGGACGCAGCCGTTGCCGCCCAGCCAGGCGGCCAGGTAGCGAATGCTGACCTCGACGTTGTTGCGCAGCGTGGCCAGCGTGCGGGGCCCCGAGGGCACGGCCAGGAGGGCGGCGGGGTCGGCCACCACGTCCTGGCGGGCCACGTGCAGCTGGTTGGGCCCCGGCATGTGCGCGTCGAAGGCCTCACGCGCGATGGGGATGAGGCCCGGGTGCGCCACCCAGGTGCCGTCGTGCCCATCGCGCACCTCGCGCAGCTTGTCGGCGCGGACCTTTTCCATGACCGCCGCGTTGCGCGCGGCGTCGGCCTTGATGGGGATGAAGGCCGACATGCCGCCGATGGCGTGCACGCGCCGGCGGTGGCAGGTCTTGATCACCAGCTGGGAGTAGGCGCGGAGGAAGGGCTGGTCCATGCCCACCACGCCCCGGTCGGGGAAAATGCGGGTCGCGTCGTTGCGCAGCGTCTTGATGAAGGAGAACATGTAGTCCCACCGCCCGCAGTTCAGGCCTGTGGGTTGGGTTTTTGTATGTTGGGGGGGGAGAGGGTCGTCTGAGGTGATGCCAGGGGTCGGCGACAAGGCGGCTCCGAGCAGCAGAGCACATGCTTGGTTGGGCAGGGGTGACCTCGGTACACCCACACCACACCAGAACAGCACACCACCAACCCCCCACCCAACAGCCACCTCACCCGCGGAGTGATCGCGGAGCTCGTACAGGATCTCGTCCATCTCAAAGGCGGCGGGCAGCGTCTCGATCAGGCAGGTGGCTTTGATGGTGCCGTGCGGTACGCCACAGTACAGCTGCGCCTCGGTGAACACCTCGTTCCACAGCCGCGCCTCCAGGTGGCTCTGCATCTTGGGCAGGTAGAAGTAGGGCCCGGACCCGCGCTCGATCAGCGCGCGCGCGTTGTGGAAGAAGAAGAGCGCAAAGTCGAACACGCCGCCGGGGACGGGTGCGCCGTCCACGCTCACGTGCTTCTCCCACAGGTGCCAGCCGCGGGGGCGGACGATCATGGTGGCCACCTCGGGCTTCAGGCGGTAGGTCTTGCCGGCGGCGGCCATGGAGATGGTGCGGCGAACGGCGTCACGCAGGTTCACCTGCCCGCTGATCATGTTGTCCCAGGTGGGGCTGTTGGAGTCCTCAAAGTCGGGCATGTACACGCTGGCGCCGGAGTTCAAGGCGTTGATCACCATCTTGCGGTCGGTGGGGCCCGTGATCTCCACGCGCCGGTCCAGGAGGTCGGCGGGGAGGGGGGCCACTGTCCAGGAACCCTCACGAATCTGTGATGGCGGAGATGGGTAGGGAAAGGAGGGTGAGGGCAGGTCGCATCAGGAGAGGGCAGAGGGGGTAAGGCAGGCAAGCGGGGTCTATGCCGGCGAGCGAGGGAGCGCTGCCGGCCCCAGGGCAACCTCCACACCGTGCTGTTGAGCGCACGAGGACTGGAGCAAGCACTGCCCTCAGCCTGCTTCCCATGCCCGCCTAGCATCCAGAAGATACCCCTGCTCACGTGCCGGGTCTCCTCCAGGAATTTGGGCTTGGCACCGGCATCGAAGCGGGCCTGGACCTCCACACGACGCTGCAGCAGCTCCGTTACGCGAGGCGAGAAGCGGCGGGAGAGGTGGGCCACGAACTGGAGGGCCTCGGGGGTGAGAATGGTGCTGTACTCGGGCCGCACGGGGGCGGACACCTTGACCCCGCCGATCAGCTGAGGCTGCATGACTGCTGTGCCTACACCCTGGATAGTGGAGAGTGGGTAGGATATTTTGAATGCGGGGATGATGCAGCGCTGGATCTGAGAAGGTGCCGGGCCTTCCGCTCGCACAGGAGCCGGAGGTGGCGACCCGAAACACAGGCCGCTCGCGGCCAGAAGTCGTCTCACGCTGGAATCACATATACGAAACACAGTCAGGAACTCGCGAGACACCAATGCTCCACCACAGAATCCAAGGCTGGTGAGGGTGAGGACGCCACGACCGTACCCACCTCTGTTTCTCCGACACCTCGGAAGCTCAGGCCTGGGATGCTTGTCGCAAGGATGCACTGTGTGGCAAAGGCGTTCGAATTATTGTCACAGCTGAAGATATGGAGTTAGATCGTGCCTTTGGCTTAATCGCCTTGGAGAAAACTCTTTCGCCATTGCAAAACTGGCTGACGTCAGCCTCCGCTTTCGGCAAGTGTGTCGGGGGCGTGAGCGGCACGGTTTCTTTATTTGAGCAACTTGGAACTCTCCTTACTAGAGCAGCCCACAGGCCGAGACGCCACCGAGTCCAATGCTCCTCATCTGAACATTCAGACAGATAGGCTACAGATTTACAGTCCAGAGGGTTGCAGGGCAAGCAAGCGGGCTGTGGGGTGGGTCCATAGGGAGTGAGGGTTGCACATCTAGGTCACCCCCGAGCATTTTCCGGTGGGGTGGGGCATACAGCTTCGTTCAGTGTCACAGGGTGGCTGATGAAAACAGGATGATACATGATGGAAAGACTACAGGTGGCTGGTGCGCGTGGCTGGCGAGGGGGGGGTGAATTTGGTCAGGGAGCTCGGCCCACCCAGGGGTACATGCATGTGAACCCGGTCACCAAGAGGCTGGTGCGTCGCAGAAGGGGTGTATTCCATCGGCGGGCTGCAGTAAGAAGGCTCGCCTCGCCAGCCTCCACCAGGCCTCAACAGTCCCACGGCCATGGGGTGGGGTCACAGCGCGTCGGTCTCGGTGCGGCGCTGGTTGCGCTGCTCCCAGGGGTCCAACCCCACGGCCGAGGCCTGGAACTCGATCAGCCGCACCCGGCGCAGCTCATCGCGGTGCCTGGCAGCCTCCTCGAACCGCCCGTCCTGCAGCGCTGCCTGCATGGCCACCAGGGCGCGCGCCCCGGGGTGCTGCGCATAGCCCTCCGCGATGACGCCCTGCAGCCTGGACAGCGCCAACGGAGGGGAGGGTTTGGTTGGGGAGGAGGGAGGGGGGAATGCAGGCCAGCACAGAGCCAGGCAGATGTGCTGGGCCCGGCGTTGCCGGCACATCGATCGTGTGGCTGAAAACCGTGGGTCCTCAAACCGGGCTCCTCGGGGCCCCTCCTCACACCGGACCGGCCCCCCCGCGCGGCCCCCAGCCCCGCATTCCATTAGAAAACCAGTCCAAGCGCACTTGGCGGCGTCAGCAAAGCGCTCCTCGGCAACCGCCAGCGCCAGCTGCAGGCTGTACAGGGTGGTGGGGTCCACGAACTTGGCGGCCTCCTCGCGGCAGCTCCTCACAATCTGGGCGTGGGACTCGTTGCTGGGCAGGGGCTCGGGGCCGGAAGCGGGGCGCCCCATCTGCTTGGCCACGTCCTTGTCCACGTAAAGCGGCGCGCCCACCCGGATGGCCACGCTCACGGCATCTGTCGGAGGAAGAAAGCAAGAGAATCGTGTGTTTGTGTGGGCCGGGGGGGGTCCAATGACCAAGTATGGACTCACGGTCAGGGCCATGGCATGAAGCCTTTCTGCTCTACAGTGACGTCCAGGGTGCAAAGTATACTGCAGGAAGTCCCCTCCGGGCATGCCGATCCTCGGGGGCCAGAGCCAAAACCATCCGCTCAGCACCTGAGGGCCGCATGTCCATCACGATCTCCTGCAGCTTGGACTTTTCGGTTGCCGCGTTGCCCGACGGTATCATGTACAGGCGCGCATAGTATGTCATGCCGCGGATCTCCGTGATGCAGACCTTGGTCACCTTGAGGCACGAGCAATACGGGCAACGGGTGAATGCTGGGAGGAATATACTGCTTTGAACGCCAGGTACCTACGCTGCCTTGGTCGCTGATGCTGCTGTGAACAAGAGGCCAATTGTGGGGGGACTGGCATGGCGAGCAACACCCACCCCGCCGCACCACAATAGGCCTCGGACACACATACCCGACACTTCAGCACTCGGATGAGTTCTGCCATGGCATCATGCGTGTTTGGTCGAGGCTACGCAAAACGTGGAGAGGATAGGCTGTGAGCGCACAGAGGGCAGAACTCGGGCCGCGGCACTTCCGCTGAGCATGGCTGTCCATTATGAAACCCAGGCACCGGCCACAACGTACCAGCTGCAGCTCGCCCCGCGCATGTCGCATGGAATCAGCCTCTGCCCTGCCTGCGCAAAGGGAAGCAAAGGGAGGGGAGATGTCTCCTGCCGACAGGTGACACCACAGAGAGCGACCAAGGTAGGCTGGCGCCCACAGACACCTGCACTCGAACTGCTGGCACAGGCCACGACCACCCTCCCCTGCACATGCGACGCACCGATGAAGACCTTCAAGATGCTTTTTCGTTCGTCCTTGATCCTGAGGATGACCACTCCCCCTGTCTCGTCGGTCGCGAGGACCCTGCGTGCAGCGCGCGCGAGTGGACTTTTCGGGTGAGAATGGGGGAGGGCTCCGTGACAGAGGGCCAGGCCCACTCAACGACGAACAGCAAGCAAAGCGCAGTCTAGGACTCACTCTCCGACCACAGCTTCATGAAAAGATGCCAGATCAAAGCGTTCGGGGGATGCGCAAAAGACTCTGCCCGTTGGCCCTCGCCGCGCTCGAGACCAGACCGGGCGGAACCTGACGAGCGAGGACCGTGTGCAGGGCCGTGCGCCCAAGAAGGAGGTATGAATCGGCATCGAATGCACAGCAGTCATTTCAATCTACGCCTGGGAATCGATACGGAGCTCGGAGACCATGTATGTCCAGGTCAAGTGTTTCGGTTTTTTTCAATCCGAGTCGTGACGACGACACCCGAACGCGCGCTGGGAGATTCTGGGCGCTCTCGTTCCAAAAAGGGGTGCCTGGCATGGGCTCCCATCGAGGCCAAGCAGCCTTTTGTTGCAATCCAGAACATGCATCGTACGCGTGATAATCTCTGATTGAAGTGAGGGGCGCCTAGATAAGTATACTCCCCCACTTCGTCCATCCGCCATTCCTGCCGAGCACACAAAACCTCGACCGTGTCGTTGCCGCAGGTCGTAATTCCAAGGCATCGGCACGCCCATGCGACTGAGAACATGCCTTTTTACTGTTATTTCAACTGTGATCTGTGGACACGTGGCTACCTGTCTAGCACAACCATCTTCGCTGGTAGCAGACGGAGCTAACCTACTGGTGGCAGAGTTCGAGGGCGCCTCCCGGTGGACTGCGCCCCGCCACCTCTTCACCTCTTCCCATATCATTGTCAGATGTGATGGCGTGAAGGTGTGAAGTTTCTGGTGTTGGTGTGGTCGAGCAGTGGGGGCCAGCATGGCTGATCAGATCATCGCTGATGTCACAGGATCCACTCAGGGTTATACTTCCCCCCATCCCACCCCTCTCGCCACACTCTGCCGCTCCGTCGCCAGGACTTCACCGTGTACGTGGAGAGGAGCAGGCACGACCTGCACGACGCGCACGCTGCGCGCTCCGGCGCCTGGTGCGGCTGGGCGCACGCCCTCAACCAGGACCGCTCCACCTGTGTGGCCCCCGTCTCCCCCTTTGGCAACGCCGCCGTGGGCGTGGCCCCCCGCGCCGCCGGCGGCATGGCGCGCTGCACCGCGCGCCGCACCGACGCGGTGTCCGGCTTCCGCCTGGCCGCTGCGGCTCTGGGCGCACTGCTTTTCTGGCACGCGCCCAGCCTGGCACTGTCCACGCCCTTCCGCCTGACCACGGGCAGCCTCGGCTTCGTGGCCCTGTCCGCCCTCATCCTCCTCTTCGTGCTGTACAGGTCTGAGGGATGGGCGCCCGGGATCAGGGGCCTCGGCGATGACGCTGTGCGCCTGAGCGCTGCGCAGCTGCGCTGCATCTCGCGACGTGATCGCCTCTCCTAGGCCGTGGAAGGAGCGACCCCACTCAACCCCTGCACCCATGCCATTCTCCGCCACCGCCCAGGGCCTTCCCGCACAAGAAGCGACTGTTCGCGGCGGCGACCCTGCTGGGCAGTACCTTCCTGGGCGCCATGCGGTACCTCCTGGGCACCTGGGTGCCCTCCCTGCGCTCGCTGGCCACCAACCCGCTGGTGCTGGCCTACCTGGCCCTCTCCGCCGTCGCCGGCCTCGTCGTCACCTACTGGTTCAACGACACCTCCTCCGTCAAGGTGCGATCTGGTGAAGGGTGGGCGATGCTCGTGGACCTCGTATTCAGCGGCCCCTCTCTTCGTCATCATCCACAGCTCGCATGCACCACCCTTTCCCTCTTGAGGACACCCCCCCCGCCCCGCCTCGTCAGGTCAACACGATCTTGAGGGTGGCGCTGCAGGTGGCGGGCCTGGGCGCGGTGGCGGCCAGCGCCAGTCTTCCGGAAGGCGCTGCCGCGCTGGCGGCAGGCCTGATCGCCGCCCGCCTTCTGAGCCGCGCGCCGCTGGCCTGGCTGCGCAACGCGCGGCGCATCGGCGCAGGGGCCGTGCCGCGGCTGGTCAAGTACCCGGCGGCGCGTCGCGCGTCCCTGACCGCAAGCGGGCGGCATGTGCGTGGTGAGGGGGATCCTGGGGGTGCAGCGAGCCCGGAGGCTCGGCAGAGTTCACAGGCGGCGGCGGCACATCACGAGGACCACCCCCGCAGCCTGAGCCGCCTGGCCGCCGCCGCAGCGCCCCCTGGCCCCCAGGCCCGGCCTCCCCCGTCTACTGGGAGCGGGGCTCCTCAGGCCCCACCTGCCGCTGAGCACGACGCGGAGGCTTCCTCCAGCCAGGCCGCCAGCGGGGGCCCCGCGGAGTCCAGCACCCACCCGGCCCGGTCGCAGGCCAGGAGCGCGACGGCGACGAGCCGCCTCGCCTCCGGCGCTGCCGCCGGCGGGGCCGCGCCCAGCGCGGTGTCCAGCCCCCTCATCCCCTCGGGCAAGGTGCTGAACGAGGCCACTGGGAACCTGATTGGCGTGGGCAAGGCCACCTACTGCAAGCTGCTGGCGGAGGGGTACATCTTGGACGCCGACCGCGGCACCATCACGCCTCCCCCCAAGGCACGCGGTGGGCGGGGCGCGGCGCGTGGCAGCGGGGCCGGCCCGGGGACGCCCTTCCGGAGCAGCAGGCGTGCCTCGTGAAGTGTGGTGCTCGCTGCCGGGCCCCAGGGGTTTCATGTTATTGGGTGGAACGTGTCTCCCTGGCAGAGCACTCCTTTCCCTCTGTCGATGCACTGTGAACGCATTCGCCCTAGTATCTCTGACAGTGCATCGACGAGTGGTGGGAGAGGGTGTGCAGCCAAGGTACGAGGGGAGGTGGACAGCAGGCACGGACCAAGCTTTCTTTGGGGCAGCCATTGAGCACAAGGCCACCGAAGAGTTCCTCGACCACGGGACCCCATCACCCCTCCTCCCGCTCGCCGCCCCTCCCCCTGCCCGCATCGGGCCAGTTGCGGTGGCGGATGGCGTTGAGCTGGCCGCGCCGGGCGCGCCCCAGCTGCTGCGCCTGCATGCTCAGCGCGGCGGCCTCCCGCCGGCTGCCCTGCGCGGCGCGCAGGCGCGCGCACACCGCCAGCGTGCGGGGATGCCGAGGCCCTGCCTGCATGGCAGTGTCCAGCAGGTTCTGCGCGGCCGCCAGGTCCCCCTCCTTGATCTCCAGCAGCGCCAGGTCGGCCAGCACGTTGCAGTTGGTGGGCGCGGCGGCCAGGCCCTGCGCGTACAGCCGCCGCGCGGCGTTCAGGTCGCCCTCCCCCGCCTCCATCTTGGCCCAGGCGTGCAGCGCCTCCACACTCTGCGGCTCGATGCCCATGCACTGCTGGAACAGGGCCCGCGCCTCGGCCACCGACCCGTACCGCGACTCCGCCACCGCCCAGGCCTTGGGAATCAGGAGAGGGGTGGATGGAGTGGGGTGGGTGAGTGGGTGGGTGACACCCTGTGGAGTCTCCAGGCTGGTAAGCGCGGCGGGAGTCCTGAGCACAAGGCTCAAGGGCTTGAGCCCACCGCCGCGGGACGCTGCATGCCATCACTGGACGACGCCTGGGTGCGTGCCTCAATCTCTTCCTTCCCTCCTTTCAGTCATCTCCTGCTTACTCTTCGTCATCAACTTCTCCTCCTCAGTCAACCCTTCGCCCCTCAGCAGCCCCTCTCACCTGGAGCAGGGGCACCGAGTCCGGCTGCAGGTCCAGGGCGCGCTTGAACAGGTCCCGGGCCAGGTCCATCTTCAGCGCCCCGCTTTCCAGCCGGGCCAGGCCCAGGAGCGTGGGCACGTGGGTCCACTGCGTGGCCTCCAGTGCGGTGTGGAACACGCGCCGTGCCTCCTCGAACTTCCGCGCCGTCACCTGCGCGCGCGGCGTGAGGGGTGTGAGGAGGGGAGGTGGTGTTGCTTCCGGCGGACACAGACAGCCAGGACAGCAGAGCCCCACGCCGAGGCCCTGGGCCCCAAGTCGGAGCATGCTCGGACGGCAGCTGCCCCTTGCACCGGCAAGCGCCAGCAATGGTCTGCATCGTCCAAACACATACCCTGGCCTGGACGGTCAGCCCTGGGCCTGCTGAACGCACTCGCCCCTCTTCCTCAAGAAGCATTCCTCCATCTGCAACCCCCCCCCCTCCCCTCCCAACCTCGACCCACCAGGATGCTGCCCAGCAGGGTCAACAGGTACTTGTTGTCCGCCTCGATGGTCAGCGCCTCGCGGCACAATCGCTCCGCCAGCGCGGCGTCCCCGCCCTGCCACTCCTGCGTGGCCCAGGTGAGGAGGAAGCGCGGCGCGCCCGCGGCGATGGGCCCGCCCGGATGGCGCATGGCCCCCGCCAGCGCCGCGCGGAAGAGGCGGCGCGCCGAGAGGCGGTGCCGCAGCGCGGCCTCGTGCTGCGCCCAGGAGGACAGCACGCGCACGCGCCCCTCCACCGCCTCGGCGGGCGCGCGCCCCGCCGCCACGCCCGCGCGCCACGCGGCCTCGAACCCGACGCAGGAGGCGCGGTAGAAGGCGCGCGCCACGCCGGCGGAGGTGCCCGCCACGCCGCGCCGCGCGCGCTGGCGCTCCGCGTTGGCCAGCTGCGCCCAGAGGCCCGGGTCCAGCGGGTCCCGCGCGCAGGCGTCCAGCAGCACGGCGTGCGCGCCGGCGTGGTCGCCGCTGCGCGCCAGCCCGCGCGCGCGCAGGCCGGGCGAGTCGCGTGGGTCGGTCACACGCCACGGCTCGTTGGCGGGCATGGCCGCCAGCAGCGCGCGCGCCAGGCCGGCGGCGGCGGCGATCGCCGGGTGGGCGCCGGCCAGCGCGCCGCCGGAGCCCGACGTCGCGCCGCCCTCGGCGTCGTACCACGCGCCCGCGGCGTCCGCGCCGGGCGCGTCGCCCCTCACGCGCGCCGGGTCCACCGCCACCTCGTAGCTGACGCGGGGGTCGGCCAGGCTCAGCACGTCGCCTGGGTGCAGCACGGTCTCGGTCCAGGGGCGCAGGCGCGCGCCGTTGACGTAGGTGCCGTTGGTGGAGGACAGGTCGGCCACCACCAGCTGCGCCTCCGCGTCCGGGCCAGCGCCTCGCGTCAGCACCTCCAGCCGCGCGTGGCTGCCGGAGACGGTGGGGTCCAGGACCACCACGTCGGCGTCGCCATCAATCACCGCGCCCAGCACAAAGGGGCCGGGCGTGGCGGGGAGGGGGATGGAGTGGGAGGGCAGGGGCTGCCCCGCCGCGCCCAGCAGCGTGACCGGGGGGGCGGCGGGGATGTGGGCCAGCCGCCAGCGGCTGCCCACGGGGACGCTGCCGGGGAAGGACTGGAGGGAGTCGGGGCGGCGCGGGAGCGGGCGCTGGGGCTTGCTGGACAGCGTCACGCGCTGAGAGGTGTCGGGGGCCTCACCCTGGTCGGAACGCCGGGCGGAGGGGGGGGCGCGGGGGCGCCGGCGGGGGCGGGTGGGGCGCGTGAGCGCCGGCGCCCCCCAGCACCACGCCCTGGACCCGGGGGGTCCTGTGTGACACGGGACGGCGTGAGACAAGTCAGGGTCCACGGGGCAGTGGTAATGATTCTGATCGTCAAATCGAGCAGACTATGGGCCTCGCCTCACGGCCATCCCACTGCATCCCGCCTCCTTGCACGAGGACGACCTCCACAGGGTGTCACCCACCACCACAACCCCATCGACCACGCGCTCAGCCTGCCGAGACGCCCGCTTACCTGGCCGGAATGAGGGCACAGCACAGGGCTGAAAAGCCTGCACGTGTCTAATCACGGCCATGGATCACAGGAGGCTGACACTCGCGCACGGGAGCCGGTGCATGGTGCGGGGAGTCAGGTAGGGTAGGGGGGTGGGTTCACCCGGAATGCGCGCCATGCGAGACCCCATCTGGTGCTGGCGAGGAGGTACACATCGCATGGCAGGGATTCGAGGCCCTGCGAGAATGCTGCACGTGCAGTGCTGCTGGTCGGGCATCGAAATCGTGAGGACTGGAGACCCGATTGTTTGAGGATGGGGAGTTTGATGGATGAGCGCGCTGGCGGGAGGGCAGCGTGTCGATCGTCAGGCATTCAGAGACCCCTGCATGCTCATCAAGCATCGTCATCACGGTCGTCACCACAATCGGATGTGGCCTTCATGGCAGATGGAGGGTTTCTGAGAGAGTCCTCCCCCCCCACTGGCGGAGCGCTGCCGCTGTCGGGGCAGGGAGGTCGGGAAACCCCCACCCTCACTGCCCCTCCCCCACGCCCACCGCCACCAGACTCAGTGGCAGCCTCTGGCTGTTCCAGGTGTACGAGCCTGAGCTTCAACCAGGAATGGCTCGCAGCATTCCATGTCGCGCTGTGCAACACCTGCAGGCAGAACGAGAAACTCGTCAGCAAGGTATTTGTTTGGGAGGGAATCGCACACGTCTGGCCCTTTTCTACGCACGATTCGACAACAGAATTGCTATCGCTTTTTTGCAGAGCACGGCCAGGATCCGGTACACCCTGACAGACAGTGATCTGAAACCGCTGGGGAGCCTCCGCAAGGCCAATCCCCACCGCAAGGACTGGCAGCCCATGCACCTATACATGCAGTCTCAGGTGGGGCAGGAGCGGTAGTCTGGGATCCAGGCATGAGTTCCTGATCACGAAGGGGAGGATGGTTCAGGATCCCAACGATTTGTATGTTTCAGTTTTCTTCCTCCCCCAGGTGGAGGAGGTCGCGCGCTCCAAGCACGGTGATCTGGACCAGATGCTGGACGGTCATGCCGCCCTGGCGGCTGCAAAGCTCACAGATGCCATCCGGGTGGGCCAGGGAAGATGGTCTCCGGGATAGAGATTACTGCTGACTGTCTGCAAGCTGGTTGTGCACCTGATGCATGCTGGCGTGCCACCCTCTCACACTTTCAACACATGCGCACTGCAGAAACGTGAGGAATCCAAGCATGCTTCCCAGAGGAAGGCTGCTCGCATCTTGAAGATTAGGGCAGAAATTCAGGTGCAGCGGTGGCCTGCATCGTTTGGCTGGGGCATGAATGTTGAGGAGATGATCGCCCACCTCTGGTTGCGATGCCTCTGAATCGCCCACTCTTTTGCTCTGTTCCTTCCTGCCCAGGACAAGGCACATGCCCAGACCGTGTTCCAGCCTGGCGAGGAGGATGTTGAGGACCTGTGATCGCTCTTGTCGTCAATGCCATACTTTGTGGGAATACGGTCACCTGACTGAGCGCATGATGGTACATGGTCTGGAGAAGCCAGGCTGGAGACCAAGCGGTACCCGGTAGCTTCCACTGAACTTGACACTTCGGAATGACAGGTCTGGAAGATGGCGGATGGGCCCATGCTTGGCTTGCTTGACGTGCAGCCAAACCCGGTGCATGGTGGAATAACATGCATGGAAATTGGTTTGCAACCTGGTTTGGGAATTCTTTGTCGCCATGTCACAGGACGTCCCCCCAGAAGAGCTCCCACCACGAAACAAGACCTTGGAGAGATGCATCCTACGCCTGCCTGCTGGAGCTCAGGCTTCTTTGAAAAGCATCAAGACCTGAAGCTGATGTGGCAAGCTTGGGGAGCTGCACACATACACGCTAGACCTCCTTCATGCTCGTGATCCGTGGCTCCTCAGAGTCCCTGCTGTGACCATGCCCCTCCCCTGAGCAGTAGCCATCACTGCCGGTAAGATCCACAGTCATTCTCAGGCATCAAGTGCCCACCAGACATTATGCTCCTCCTCGTCTACACACGGACGGATACCCATCTCTCCCTCTGGCGGTAGACAGTGCTGCAGCCTGGAGGGCCAACACATACTCGTGCCTCTTGTCCGTTGTACTTACGCAAGGCCATTCAGCATTCTGCACCCTGCCGCTCTGGCACCAGGAAGAGGGCGCTGCGCAGTTGACAAAGACCAGCACCTCGCCCGTGTATGCACACTGCGAGGGCCGAGCATGGAGTGCGCTATCCACATGTCAGGCATCCGTACCCACACATCAGGCATCCGTGACTTCGACCTTTGCCGTCTTCGAGTCCCAGTCCGGCAGACTCCTCGCCGCCTCGCCGATGCTAGAGATGAGCCGCCTGACGGCCGTGTTGTTGCAGCCCTTGGGTGGCTGTGGGAAGTCTGAGGGCGGATAATACGCCATCTGCAGGTTGGCAGTGAGGAGGAGGGGGGGGCGGGATACTTGAGTGCTCGTTTGCGTACTTGATTTGCAGTCCCCCCATGGCAAGGACAAGTCTATAGGGCCCCTCCTGGCCGGGTCAGCACCGCAGGGGCACGCCGTCAATATGCGCTGCTTTGAGAGCAGCAGGGTTGCCAGGCCACCCTGGGCCCGTGTCCTCTGCTCCCGCCACGCATCATTGCTGCGTCAGCCTCATGTAGACAAGCCCCTGCCCTCCTCGGCCCCTGTGCTCACATAGTCGCGCTTGTCAAAGTGCCAGGCCCCGATCTTCCCGGGGGTGAACGCCCCCTTTTCCGAGAAATCGTTGCCATAGGTGAAGTGGATGATGTATATGTGCGTGCCATCCTGAGGGGTGTCGAGAGGGGCCAGAGCAGAGGTGGCGCAGGACGTCTGGGTGCGGGGTTCTTGCAGAGGCGATCGCCGGGGTGGATGCCTCTTCCCAGGGGTCCGACGCCGGCATGCCGAGCAAGCCCGCATGCCACCCTCATCACAGCCCCGGCCCTTCCTGCGCACCTCAAAGGAGAGCCGGTCGTCCCAGGGGGGCTGAATCATGAGCTCCTTGTGCAGATCGTAGCGGATGGGCCCTCCATCCGCCGTGGCCGAAGCGATGCTGTATGCATACCTGTAGGGATGGTGCGGCACCGGGAGGGGAGGGGGGAAGGGCTTGTGTGGGACAGCACATCTGGACCTGTGGCCGTGGGTGAAGATGGCAGAGGAGGGGCCTGGCTTTAGGAGGCCGCGTGCCCAGAAGATATCAGTGGTACAGGTTTTGCTGGGGCGCATTGGTCACGGGGACGCACGGGCTCAGATGGGAGTGCAGTCCCCTGCCTCCTCGAGAGCACGGGTATAGCACCAGATCTCCCCCTCGCCATGTGCGGGATGGTCATCCGAGCGGCACAGGCCGGTACACAAACAGGGCAGACACGCAGCGATCATCAGCTTGAAGCTGGTGGGCGTCAGGCACGGTCAGCAGGGATGCCAATGGGGCACGCCACGCCCAGGAGCAGCAGGCGTCTCGCCCACGGACCGACACCCGGCGCAGGCATGCGCCTCCCCCGGGTTCCCCGCCCTCGTAGCCCGGCCACCCGAGAGCTGCCCCCCTTCCTTGTCTCACATCTCCTGGACCCAGCCAAACTCCTTGTCGGCCTCGTGGTCTGCCTTGATGGCCAGGCTCGTGTTCACCCACAGGTCCACAATGGACGCAAACTGGTCCTTGTGGATCATGACCGGCGAGTTCCCTGGGGGTGGGCGAGCGGGGGGCCGGGAGTGAGGGGAGGAGTGGGTCCCAGGCATCTGAATGCTGACCCTCCGCATGGCACCAGTCCCACACTCCCCTTTGACCCCGGAAATGCTAGAGGATGTCGCCATCCAGCCAGTTATGTGCGGCCCCATGCGAATGCAGGCAGACTGGGATGGTGCCTGGGCCAAGCAGACTGGCCCTGGCGCACGGGTCCGAGGGGAACCTGGAGCACCCATCTGCCCCCAGCTCACCGATGGGCTCAAACTGGTCGATGGGGACGTTCTTGGGGTTGAACTTGTTGATGATGCTCGCAAAACGCGTGGGTTCGATGTAGA